TTTGAATTTTAAGAGAGCATGTATAGACAGAATAGAATTTGTCATTACTTGGCCATATGGCTCTGAAGGGCTGACAGGTTAAAAACACAGCAACTTCATTGATTTCACTAAAACAGTGCATGAGATAATCTATGAGCAAAACATCATTTGTATAACCAGTGTAACTTTTTCAACATAAAGTATTCACATTCCAGGGAAAGAGTATCTGAGATGCTGTTTCTTAGCATAAGAAAATGGAAACTAATGGTTTTCATTTTAAATTTATTTTATTGTTAGTTGATGGCAAAAATCTTACAACTGCAATTACAGCTTCTCTCCATATCATCATCATACTAGTGTGAGGACAGCAGATAAAAGTATTGAAAGATTGATGGATAGATGCACATACTGTTTTGCTCTCTTAGCTTGTTCTCTTTGTATTTTGCCTTTCATTTGGTTCCTTCAATTAAAACTACATGTGTCAAATTAATGCTGAACTTACAAGCCATGGAAGATATATTTTATATATCCTGAAGACTTCCTTGAAGGAAGAAATTAGAACTTCCCCCTATAGCTGGGGGATAGTCCAGCCTAGGCCACACAATTTGTCTTCCTAATGTTTTCTCTAATATGGTTTTGATAGGAGAGAACTGGTCACTTATTAAGCTTGATGGAAAGTTGCATAACTTTAAAAAAAAAAGTCAGTTGGTGAAAATGCTCTTTGAAATGGCTTGAAGGAATATTAAGTCATATTTGTATTGTGGATCTGGATTGGTATCCCTTTTTCTTTTTTTACAAATGTGGTTTACCATTCAATCTATTTCCTATAACTAAAATGTTCAAGAAGAGCAAAACAAGTAACAGTGGCGTCTGACTTTCGAATCAAAGTGTTAATCATTATCTTTCAATGCTTCCTTCCTTCATCATGTTGGCTAAAGAATGACATTAAGAAAGAAAGCCTTTTGGCGAGTGTAGCAGGATTTAAGTTAGTGAGTATCAAATGCACCCTTCACCCCATCTGCAGAATGAAAGGCGGCAAGCATGGGTTGATATTGTGCTGCTGTTTGTTTACATTTGATTTGATATGATTTTTTAAAAAAGATTAATAGCCTAGTGACAAAATGTAGGAAAATTCTTTACTAATATTAGAGAACAGTATTGTATGAGTTAAATTATTCCATACTTTTAAAATTCTGTAGCTGGACTACATGAATCATAAATTATTTCATTATTTATTATAATTTCTGTAGATTAATGATAGGGCTTGTTGTACTGCAGCATGTCAGTCCTACTTCAGCTATGCTGTGGCCTATACCCCAGGAGGAATAGTAACCAAAGTGCTCTACGTATAAGGCAATTTAATAATCTTACACAGGCCACACTGACTTTACTCAATTGCAGCAGCCTATGGAAAACAAACATGGCATACTCTTGCATGTGCCATGAGTGTAAAGTATATAAGAAACAAATGATGCTTCAGCATGCATTAAGTTCCTTGTTGTAGTCCATAACACTGTGAGATATTGTCAGATTGAAATATAAAAGAATTCATACCTGCTCACTTGAAGTGGCACCTCCTGCTAAAATAAGAGATTCCTCAAGCTTTATATCTGAGTGAACCGGGTTTTGCGTGTTCAGAACAAAATTGCTTCTTGTGCATTCTCTGCCTACTTTCCCAAGGAGGAACTACTTTTTTAGGGAGACCTATATGCTGTTGATACTACACTCCCCATCAGTGCCATTCCAATTGTATATGGGCCCAACCCCAACTGTCTAGGAAGATTGCTGTATCTGTCAGGTCCATGGCAAATCCCCAATTCAGAAACATTATTTGGTGTTTGATCTAGGCATTTTTTTAAACTGACAGGAACAACTATCATTCAGTCTTTTCTCTGTTTAGGTTTACCCAATCTTTCATAAACACTCTGGAAAATCTTTCTTTTATCAGCACATAATGTGTCTGCATTATGAGGATAATCTCCAAACAAGTATCTGCTTTGTAAGTAGTGTTAGCAATAAAGACACGTCCTCCCTATGGCTCCATAGCTATGTACTTGGAAAAGAATGCTCCTTTTTAAAGAAATGGCAAAATAAGAGTGTTAGCATTGACAAAATGCTCATGCTGTTTTCCCCCTGATATGAAGCACTTAGGATTGTTATATCAGTGCTAATGTTAGCCCACTATTTCTTCTATGAGAAATTCCACATAGTTAATGCCTTGCTACTCTGGAAAAAGAATACAGTAGTGTAGGAATTATCAATTTGGCAGGTAAAAATTATCTGGGATCCTGAGTGAAGGATTTTCTTGTGATAATTTAATTGTAGATATTGAGCCTGGAATCTTATGCATGCAAAGCATAAGATTGGTCTTTGACCAATATTATGTAGTTTTTTCCCAGATGTCTCTACATTAATGGAGAATGTGTCTAATTTAATTATGTTTGTTGTAGATACTGGTTTTTTTTTTGGTATTTGCACTTATCCTCATCTCCAATGACATGCTGCACAATGTAATTCTTCAAGAGACTATTTTATGATTTAATAAATAATTAGGAGGGTTTTCAAAGTCTTACACTCTCCTGCTACTCTGTAGCCTGTGTATCTCATTAGACTGAAGAAATAGTGTTTTAACTTGCCCATATCCAAAGAGCTCTATTTATTAGGAGACACTGGTTTAAAAAGCAGAATGAATTTGGGGGTCCCAAGAATGTAATATCTAGCAGATATTTTGGATGAGTCTTAATATTTGTTATTGATCAATTTACAAACATTCCAAATGGCTAGAAATCCATGGTTTTAGTTATTAAATACAATAAAAGGATTCTTCTACATACATTTTTACCAAATTATACCTAAAATAATTTTGTTCAGCTGTGACAAGCAGAAAAACTTTTGAAACTGAAATTTTAACCATAATAAGTGCAATCACCCTACTTTTCCCAGTTCAATTGTTCTATTTATCACTTCTAACTTCACAGCATTCCCTAAAGCACAAATTAAAAATGTCTTAACAAATATAGTCTCACAATTGCAAAGAGATCCAAATTAAGCAGTGTTATTGCTGATAATAGTTAAACTGACAGTTAGGCTAGATGATATGATCACTGTGGGAAAACAGTCAATACAAAAAGTTCTCTTTCTGTTATAAAGTTAGGTACATAGGCAATAGTTATATTCAACCATGATGTAGCCTGACTAAGCAGAGATATTGCTTGTTGTGTTATTACAACAGACCTGTGCATGTTTTGTTTCAAGAACGATAGAATAATTAATTCTAAACTTTGGATGTTGACAAAATCCATTTTAAATATTGATCCAACATACATAGTTGATTTTCTAGTATATGCTGGTTACCTTTTTAAAGCTTTCTCTTAAATGTGAAGGTTAAATATTTCTTTTAAATATGGAAACATTCTCAGGTGAATTTGGGCATTTTAAAAAGCTTGCTGTATTCTATCGCCCCAATAAAAAATACTATTTTGGCTTCTGGGGCATTAGTTCACAGCACTAAATATTAAGAAATATGATCAAAACTATGGGAATAGCTACTAAGACACACAGAATATTAACTCTCCTTTTTCCTAGGAAGCAAGAGTTCTGTTTACTGGAAGGGAGCCACCATATTTTTTCACATCTTATACTGAATTTTCATTCATAGAACCAGCTAGCACAAAAAATGATGCAGTTTTGTAATAGGAAAGGGAAATAGTACTGTTATTGTTGTATTAATTCTTTTGATAGAATCTTACAGACTACAAAGGAATAGCAAAATCTAGATTTAGTTCTTAGATTAAATTTTTCAAACCAAAAGCCATAAATCAATTCATTTCATTCAGTTTATGACACAGTATTGCCATGTGTGAATTAGTGTGACTTTTCTTGCTGTGTTATGACTGTTCTGTGCAAGGGCATTACAATATTGTAACTACCTGATGAAGGGGTTGACAGTGGCACAGCATAAGAATAAGCAATGCAAACCAGAGATAAGCTTTTGATTGAAAAGCCTTCTTTGGCATATTTTCATGATTATTACACTATTCTTACTTGCTGGGTCCAGTTATGGTACAATCGATATGTTGGCTAATGGTTAGTGAAAATTATGTTTATATGTCATATAGAATTATAATTTTATCTTCTGTGCTGTCTTTTCTCCCTACTTTGAGGCAAACTTGATTTCTTTTTGTATTGAACAGTGTATAACAATTGGGAACAAATGACTATCAAATAGATGCATGGAATAAAAAGCCAGTGTACCTCATTACGTGTTTGCAGCTTCAATTTTGAATATAAATGTACGACTCAAAGATATACCTGTGTGTATCCAAAATCATTTTTTCTCTATACAGTACAGTTATAGTTTCCAAACTCTAAGGAGATGATTTGATGACCTCTTTGAGTAAAGGAAATGTAAATATACAAATTATTCTGCATTGTAAGTGCTATATAAATGCAAGGTTTGACATTTTCAGCTTTCAATTCAGTTTAGTATGTCTGTTGCTACTAAAGGACAACATGAATGTAAATATACTTTTCATTCCTCTCTATATCCTTTATTAAGGAGTACTTATAACATCAGCCTATTACTGCCATCTCCTGAGGACATGTTGAGAGTATTAAAGTGCCAGCCTTGCAGCATAATATAGATGGAACTAAATTAAGCCTCCTGCATGCCAGCCCACAGTTTCTTGCCGAAGGATAAGATGAGCACTTTGAAACAAAGTCCAAGCAATGTTTTTCCTTCATCATTTAATGTGCGCAATTGAAAGCTAGGAGCTGATCAAGACCACGTTAGAGTTATACACTGACTCACGTGGCACTACATGAAGTCATTTCATCAAATTATCAACTATTTTCACTACCATTTATCTGATAAATATGTAATGTCTGTGAAAGAAACAGATTGATTTTCATGAAGTTTTACCTGGCAAGAAGTATTGGGGAAAAAAAATAAAGAGTCCTTAAGATATAATTGCTGTTCATACTGATGCAAACCAGACAATCAGTTATAACTTGCCACAGTGTATTTTTCAGATCATCTTTTATTACTGTTTTCTTGGCACACCACATGTACAAAGATTTAACAGAAACCATCCTAAGAGGTTTGCTGAGAAGACTGATACGTTTAATACAATATTGACATTTGTTTAGAGCAGGGGTGGGGAACGATATCTCCTTTATGACTTGTGGACTTCAACTCCCAGGATTCCTGAGCCAGCCATGGAAATCCACAAGTCAAAAAGTTGTAGGAGTTGAACTCCACAAGTCATAAAGGGGCCATCATTCCCCACTTCTGATTTAAAGTGTAGCAAAGACCACCTCAAATGAACTAGGGGAATATTCACAGAAAATCCAGTAACTGATACAGAACCTTCTGCTTGCTTTGATTTCTAAAATGGCAAACTTACATCATTGCGGACATCAGGCAAACAAAACCTTATCACTTTCCTTAATGTCCCGTCTTCTATCCATTTCTTTGTTGTAGTACAAAAAGAATGAAAACAAGGATCTTTCCTGAATTCTGAAGCTGCAGTTTGATGCAGAGACAAGCAAGACCAAGGCCATTTTCAAATAGGAAATTCAGGGCAATATGGGGTCAGCTAACACTTGGATTAAGAACAAGGGCCGTATTAAAATAGGATTTTCCCAACTATGAAACACTGGATTGAACAAATAAGTAATATAACAATTTCAATTATTATATTCAAAGTATATTCTTTTCTGCTTAATATAACAATTATGTAAAGATAAAGATTTTACTCTGAAAAGTGAAAAATGCAATTTTCCATAGAGCATACTGTTAGAAAATTTCTTCAGACTTAACCTGAAATCTTCTAGACCCCACAGACATTTCATGTTACCTTATATAGGAAATCATAAAATATGATACTTATTAAAATTTTAATAATGAGAACGATAAGAGGCAAGCCATTCCTGCATGGCGGTAGCGCCCTCTATATCATTTTTCTTCTTTGTGATATTCCAACAGGTAAAATAATACAAAAATTCACTGCATTCCTCATATTGGGAGGAAAAACAATTCATTGCCATTATTTAAACAAATCAGTATTTGGCCCAAATACCACATTGTAACTGTTTCATGTGCAAAACAAATGCTGTTCATCTGGCAAGCAATTTCAGGCTTACTTCCTGAGTGATGCTAGGATTTAGATTTACTCAAATCAATAGATGCAGGTCCACTTGGCCCCTCAAATTCCAACTTCTGGATAAACTGGATCACAAGTAATTTTATAAAATGGGACATACCAGTCTCAGCTCTTTTCTAAAAAACAGCATTTTTAAAGACTCATCTTTATATATTAGCAAAAGAGGATGCCTAAAACAGTGATAAGTCCAAAGTTCAGTGACAACAGAACTGCTCATTCAAAATAGCAATTCTCCCTTAAATAGAATTCCATATTGTCCGATATCTGTTTAAGGATGGTCTATTCAGTTGCATTTCCTTCCATTCAGCAAGTGACTTTTCTTTTCACTTTTATCTAAATTGAGATGTTTGTGACTGAATTTCTTAATAAAAGTCCCAGGGATTAATGCCATCATGGCTATAGCCAACATCTTGAATAAGTTACTCCAGGATAAAATGTTATCCAGGGAAGATATCTGTGAAAGTACAGAGCCTGTCTGGACACAGATAAAATTATAAGGAATCAATCCTGTAAGTGAAAGAGAATACAAGATTAGAGAAATGAATACATTTCACAAAGTCTTTGATAAGTTTTAGCCTGCAAACAGAAAAAGGCTTGAATATACAAATGTAGGGGAATAGATCTGAGCATCAAAGGAGGAGAAAAACCATAAATTTACAAATGTCATTGGAGAAAAGAAAATATTTGCAAGTTTGATGTAATAAGTCAATTTCTCTACACATGAACAAGCTGGAATCTTGTGCTTACCTGCATAATTGTTATTTTTTCTTCAACCTGGTTTAAATCTTAAATCGCATTATCAAAACGGTACTGATAAAGTTTTTCTTTATTAATCACTTTAAGGAGAATAGTTGAAATTATGGCATTAAATTGGAGATACTGTTCAATGTTCACAATAAGAAGTAATATATTCAACAACAACAAAATTCATTGTTTTTCTTTTAGAACTTTCTGGCAAAATATAAGGGAACCATAGAAAAATTATGTTCTTGCTATGTGATTTGTAAATTATTTATGTATTTGCTTTGTGTGTTCATTGGGCTAGCCCAGGGGTGAAATGCTCCCGGTTCGGACCAGATCGCCCGCTCCGGTAGTGATGGAGGTGGGTGGTTCGGAGAACCAGTAGCAAAAATCTCTGCCCTCCCCATTGCCCAGCTGAGCCGCGCAATCATCAGAGGCTTTTTTTTTTATTTTTAAAAGCATTTTTTCTACAACCTCTGGCCAAAAAAATGCTTTTAAAAGTAAAAAAAAAGCCTCTGCCTATCAGGCAAGTCAGCTGGGATCGTCAGAGGCTTTAAAACCCGAAGAGGCTGTAGAAAATATGGTTTTAAAAGTAAAAAAAAAAAAGTTGGCCACACCCACTCAGTCATATTACACACACACCCCACCAAGCCACATCCACAGAACCGGTAGTAACAAATTTTACATTTCACCACTGGGCTAGCCTGCAAGGGAATGAAGATGGGGTTGCTATCTATACTTGTGAAAAGCAGCCACAACCAGGCAGAAATGCTTCTCACCCCCATTTCTTCAAGAATCAGCTCAGTTCATGCTTTATGTCAAGGGACAGTAAAAGTTATAGTGCCAGAAACTTGTGAGAAAATGGGCTCATTAATTCACCCAGCTCCTCCACTCACACCATTTACTTATTCCAGATGTTTGGCTAATTGAGCACCCCCAACACACCCTCCCCAATGCTTTTAGAAACATGCTGTTGTCCATATGCAGCCCACCCTATCCTTAGCTTACAAAACTTTGTGGTTGTGTAGGAGAAAGAAAGATAAGATGACAGCAAACAGAGGAGGAAATGTGGTGACATCTGGGATTGTACAGCTATTACAGGCAATCTCAAGTGCCCAAGAGTCAACTGTCAGGACTATCAGTAAGCAGTGCATAGTGGTATGATTCCTGCTTAGAGCTTGGTAGCAAATAAAAGAGAAGCAACCATGCTGAGGTAGCACCTAATCCCAACAAGGGATTTTGGAGGCAGGCGTAGGTTGCATGCCGCTTTAAAAAAACTTTGTTATAGGGACTAACCATCAAAGGATTATTTCCATAGCTATATCAAGTTACAAAGCCTATGAAGGTGAAGTGAACCCAAGGCAACAGCCTATTATTAAGAAAGAATAAATATTTTGTACAGTTATCTTCTTAAACTACGGTGTGTCCATACTCCTTGTAAAGCAACCCTAAGAATCGTTCAAACTACGTGCAGCAAAAAAAAAATAAACTCAGTGAATTTGAATAATAGAAAGAATGAGACCCAAGCATCTATTATTATGCAAAAGTGAAAAAAGACCAAATAATACACTAAACAATATGGATGTAAATATGCTTCCTTTATTCTTACCTATGAGAACAGAGAAGAAAAACTGAGCCACGTGGATGTTCAAGACTGGTGATGCAAGATTCAGAAACCAGTTTGGAGTCATGGGGAGCAGCCTCAAAAATAACAAGAAGAAGAACAAAGAATGTCTATTTTCTTCTACCTGTCAAAGGAAGCCCCACCGAAATGATAAATATCAGGCAGGATAAAAATCAGGCAGCTGCTTTCTTCCACAGCTGCTTTTTTCTCTCAAAGGTTGTATAGTACTGAAATACATGTTCTAAATAATATTCAATTAGTCAACCATAATAATAATAATAATAATAATAATAATAATAATAATAATAATAATAATTTTATTTCTATAACGCCCTTCTCCCGAAGGACTCAGGGCGGTGTACAGCCAATTTAAGAAGCACAGGACACAACAATGATTAAAAATTAAAATAATTAAATAAATTTGGCCGGATTAAACCCCCAAAAATTTAAAATACCCTAATTAAAATTATTATGTTGATAGGCCGGCCTGGTGGAACAACAGGGTCTTCAATGCGCAACGAAACACCTGGAGGTCAGAGATCTTACGTATTTCCGGGGGCAGTTCATTCCATAGGGCTGGGGCTCCCACAGAGAAGGCCCTCCCCCTGGGTGTCGCCAGCCGACATAACTTGGTTGATGGCACCCTGAGGAGACCCTCTCTGTGGGAGCGGACTGGTCGGTGGCAGACTATTGGTGGCAGAAGACGGTCTCGAAGGTACCTGGGTCCTATGCCATGGAGCGCTTTAAAGGTGGTAACCAACACCTTGAATTGCACCCGGAAGACCACTGGGAGCCAGTGCAGCTCGTGCAGGAGGGGTGTCACGCAGGGACAACGGGTTGCGCCCATAACCACCCGCGCGGCCGCATTCTGGACCAGCTGGAGCCTCCGAGTGCTCTTCAAGGGGAGCCCCATGTAGAGAGCATTACAATAGTCCAGCCGGGAGGTGACAAGGGCATGAGTGACCGTGCGCAAGGCGTCCTGGTCCAGAAAGGGCTGCAACTGGCGGATCAGGCGAACCTGATAAAAGGCCCCCCTGGCCACGGCCGTCATGTGCTCTTCTAAAGACAGCCGTGCGTCCAGGAGGACACCCAGATTGCGAGCCCTCTCTGTGGGGGGCAAAGATTCACCCCCAATAGTCAGCGATGGCACCTGCTGACTATATCGGGACACCGGCAGCCACAGCCAGGCGTAAGGAACACATCCACAAGAGAATAGGGATGAGGGAAGAATACTGTATTTCTGCTAATTCTCCCTTCTCCTTTGAAATCTGAGGAACCTGAGGAAACACTGGGAAGGGAGGAGGAATGGCTGAAATGGGAAGCTGAAACTCCTGGGAAGGAAGGAGGAATGCCTTCTGGCTTTTAAAGGTAGGCTGTTTTTCCTGTATCTTGGACACATCTATGACTGGAAGGAGTCCTTCCAAATGTGGGCTACTAGTTAGGATCTAAGACTAGCAGGCATTCTCCACTGGCATAAACAAAGCAGCAATTGTACTGCATGTTTTAAAAAAGAAATCGCATCTTTTCCTGGCTTATGTAGATAACTGCACTATCTTAGAAAAAAGTTTGAAGAAATATCTACGGAAGTCATGTTTGTAGCTCTATGCTCTCTGAATTATTTTTTAATCTTCTAATTTGGATTACTAATAACTTTCTAACTTGGATTGTTAAAATCTTAAAAAACTACGTAACACACTCATGAAGGAATATTTTTAGAACTTCAGTTAATGCATGTAAAATCACTGTAAACTTTGTCAGCTAGAACGTAGTCACAGAAGCATGGCAAGATGCCTTCTGCCAAGCTAGACCACTGGGCCATCTAGTTTTGAATTTTGTATACACTGACTAGGAGCAGGTCTTCAGGTTTTCAGATAGGATTTTTTCCTTGCAGTGCCAGAAATTGAACCGGAGACATGTTAGGTGAAGCCATATACAATTGAATTCTATTATATACAATTCTTATCTATTACTAAATAAAATTTAATTGTAATTAGCTCTTTCTTACCTTCCTCTGAAGCATGGTGACTTTATCAGGAAAATAGTAGGTAACAAAGCTTTTTCCAAAAATATTGGATAGTCCATAGCAACAAGTAGCACCCACAGAAGTCAAAATAGAACATAATAGAAGTCCTATCCATGGTCCAAAGAGAGCCCCAGCAAGGATGTTCTGTTAGAGCAAAACTAGATAGTGATCCAGTCCATTAAAAACTTTGGGAAAAGCATTAAGGGCTTTATGAACGATAAGAATATAAGAACAGCCTTGCCTGGTCCATTTACTTCATAGTGTTAATAGCAGTGGTCAGTGATGTCTCTGCAAAATCCATAAACTGGGTATAAAACACAGGTGTTTGCTGCTCTTAATATAATACAGTATACTGTATTGTGAGTCTGAATGTGCTATTTATTATACAACTGTCCACCAAGAATTTTTCTAGTGTCCCTCAATAAAATGATCTGATTGTCCTCCATCCCTGCCTCCCAGCCAACTCAAAAAACTCATGTTACATCAGGTTGAAATAGTAAACAGAACAGTAGAAATAATTCAGAATTATAAGAATAATGAACCAATTTTACCTGAAGATAGAGGCCACTAAAACATAACTTGGATTGAAATCATGGTGATGAGAAGAAGGAATGAGGATGAATTATTTTTACGATTCATCTGAAATTCTGCTCAGTGGCAACAGATGCTAGAAAGAAAGCTTGCTTTTTTGTCTCTGTTGTACATACTTAGGCCAGGTTGGAAATATTATGATTAGTATCTACTTTTTAACCTTACAACCTTCTGACAGGTGATTCCTTGAGTTTAGTGTATGTTCCTGATTGCTTAAAAGATACATTTATATAATATAAAATATATATATTCTGACTTTTCAGCAAGATGGAACATTTATTTATAATACTTATATGGCTATCCATATTGTAATCACAGCCCTGGGCAGCTCACAAGGCAATAAAAACAGCACCTCCTAAAAGTCACAATAAAATCTCAGGGCTCCCAGGGCAATACTCTCTCACACATCCACATATTATATCCTGGAGGGGTCTTCCTGAGTGGACAAAATAATATATTTCTAGATGTGTTCATGAAAGGGTTCCATAAAAATAGCAGGAAGAATATATATGTTATGGAAGGATGAACTGTATATCTAACAACACAAGTATAGGAATAATTGTCTTTGCAACATGCTGTAAAACCAATCTATGACTTTTATATCATATATACATACCAGAAAGCCAGAGCCTGGTATGCCAAAGGTTTGTTTGTACAGGTAAGCACTGCAGAAAAGCAGAATCACGTATGCATGGTGCTCTTTATTGTAGTACTGAAGAAACTCTGCAAGTTCTTGTAGTTCCTCTAGATCTGAAGGGAATTTTAATGACCTGATAAAGAGCATAATTAGTTTAGTTGCAAAATGATTGGATTAAAAGAAGGAACATAGGATAATTATGAGATTAGCCTTGAAAATTAACTGGCTTACTGCAACATGGAGCTCTCACAACAAAATATATCAGTTCAATCTTACAAATATTGGTATTTGGCTTTTTTTGCTTCTTAACAAGTTTTTCAAAATGAGATTAGAAGGAAACACCAAATCAAAAGTCATCTTAATTTTTCTTTTAAAAACAATATATTAACATTTTGTATTGTTTTAGTTCAGACAAGACAAATGTATCTTTAACAATAACAGTATCTACAGGACTAGAAAAGGAGCAGTATAAAATATAGGAAAATGGATTTTGTGATGGAAACAAGCAGCTATTAACATTCCACAAGTATTTTTTTCCCTTCTATTCAATCACGTCCAATTCTCAGAAACTCCCTGGACAAGTCCTTGCAGTTTTTTTGGCAAGGGTTTTTCAGAAATGGTTTGCCATTGCCTCCTTCTTAGGACTGACAAATGTGACCAGCCCAAGGTCACCCAACTGGCTTTATGCTAGAACTCACTCTTCTGATTTCTAGACTGATGTCTTAACCATTACACCAAAATGGCTCTCTATTGGAAGTATACAATCACTGAAATACAGTTGCTCAAACTAGTAGAAAATCAAGCAAAAGATATCTGAAAATGGACCAAAATTCCAGTTGAATTGTCCTACTAATGCTGGCAGCAGAGACCAAAATTTCCAGTCGTCTTTCATAACGATCTTCCCCTCCCCTCCTTGCATCCTTCACTAAAAAACTAAAACTTTGTCTCCAAGTCATCTAAGAAATTTGAGACCCTTACTATAATTTAAATGTAAAAAATAAAAGCTGTATACATTTGTGATGTCTATACAATAAAAGCCACACTGTGTTTTTAAACAATGTGTTCTTTTAACTGTGGCTGTATATTGTCATGCCATATATTGTTTCATTTCAACAAGCCCCAATACTCATAAGAACAGCTCTATTGGTTCAGGCCAAGATTCATCTTACTCCAGCGTTTTCTTTTTTACAGTGACCAATTAGATATCTCTGGTATTCTTGGAAAAAGGAAATAGTTCTCTCACACTACTGCTCTCCTGGTGCTGGTATATGAAGGCATATGCTGCACCCAATCAAGATATAATACTGAACCTTTATTATCAACAGCTTTTGATAGAACAATTATCCAGGAGTCTATCTAGAAACCTTTAAAAACATCCAAGGTAACAGACATCACATGTTTTGTGATAATTAATTTATTATATATTATCTGAAAAAATTCTTTGTTTGGTCTATTGTAAATATGTGTGCTATAAATTTATTTATTTATTTTATTTATTAGTTCAATTTATATACCGCCCTTCTCCGGCGACTCAGGGCGGCTTACAATGCATTAAGCAATAGCCTTCATACTTTTGTATATACCTGCTTAGTAGGGCTTTCGACCCCCCCCTAAGCGGTGTTCTTTTTTATACAAAGTCAGCTTATTGCCCCCACAATCTGGGTCCTCATTTTACCTACCTCGAAAGGATGGAAGGCTGAGTCAACCTTGAGCCTGGTGAGATTTGAACTTGCAGTAATTGCAGGCAGCTGGCAATTAAGTGCTACTTTAACAGCACTTAGTCCACTGCGTCACCAGGTTCCCTAATTTAATTCAATGACCCCTAGAATTTTAAGAGAAAATGAAAACCTCTGTAGTTCAACAATCTAGTCTTTTCTCTAGAAAATAGCTTAACCCCTGGGATTCTTTAATTAAACAATGGTATCTATCAGGATACCCAGAAAGATACCTCCTCTGTAGCAGTAAATAGATATGCCATTTTTATTCAGTGCTTCTATAGGGGAAACTTGCTGCTCCTAGTAGGTAGAGCAAGCAACAATAGGTATTTGAAATAATTACTGAGGATCCTTAGAAACACTTGATGGTGTGTTTCTAAACCTAATTCTTATTATGCAACTACTCTCCCCTCCATAGAACGTTATGGACCACCTGAGGCAGCAAGATTCATACTAATATGAATCTCAAACCATAATACAGCCTTTCAACAAACAACAGTGTCGTTCAAAGCAGGATCCTTGGTGACGCAGCAGACTAAAGCGCTGTTAAGTAACACCAGCTGCCTGCAATTACTGCAAGTTCAAATCTCACCAGGCTCAAGGTTGACTCAGCCTTCCATCCTTCTGAGGTAGGTAAAATGAGGACCCGGTTTGTAGGGGCAATAAGCTGACTTTGTATAAAAAGAACACCGCTTGGGAGGAGGGGGGGCGAAAGCCCTACTAAGCAGGTATATACAAAAGTATGAAGGCTATTGCTTAACGCATTGTAAGCCGCCCTGAGTCTCCGGAGAACGGCGGCATATAAAATCGAACCAATAAACAAACAATAAACAATAAATCCTCAAAATCACTGTAGACAAGCGCGCTATTGCCACTAGGTTTCATTACAACCTCGGAGTCCTCGACAGCACTATTGCCGCGTCTGCGGTGTCGGCTCACAGCGTCATTAGCCACTTTCAGCAAAAATCCAGACCGGCAGCCTTTGGACCTCGAGATCCATCCGTGAGCGGAGATAAGGATCAAGAGCCTTGGTAGTACAGTGGTCTAAGGCACCCTGTTATTAAGCTGGTTATTAAGACCAGCTGCCTGCAATTACTGCAGGTTCGAATCTCGCCAAGGCTCAAGGTTGACTCAGCCTTCCATCCTTTCTAAGGTAGGTTAAATGAGGACCCAGTTTGTGGGGGCAATAAGCTGACTTTGTATAAATATACAAAAGGATGAAGGCTATTGCTGAGCACATTGTAAGCCGCCCTGAGTCTCCGGAGAAGGGCGGCATATAAATCAAATTAAAAAAAAAAAAGTTGCAGAACTCAACCGCTGACCGCCGCTGAAACCAAAACTCGCTCGCTCTCCTCCGTGAGCTTCGGGACAAGCCACCCCGAAATAAAAGAGGAGGCAGCCGACTCACCTGCTTCCCGCGTGCGGCCCTCCAGGCAGCCAGGCAGTTAGCAAATAAAGACCCGAGGTGGCCGCTGCCAGGATCAGCAAGAACCCCACCAAGGACCGCATCGTAAGGGAGATCAAGAGGAACAGCCGAGGAGCAGGAACTACAGGCAACTGGCCCGTCACACGATTTCTCCTTCCTTCCTTCCATAGATTAAAATAAATGGCGAAACTTCCTGCGCCAAGAGGACATGCAGGAGCCCGTCATTCCCTCTAGCATTGTTTCCACAACTTTTTTTTTTAAAGATCTACAACTTAAAACTTCAACTCCCCAGAATTAAAAATGGTGAGGTGGAGAAACGCTGCTTTAGAGGAGGTTAATGTCGGGTGCTGCTGCCGCCGTTGATGGTTCTTCGCCCAGAGACAATGGAGCTGTGCCTGGGCTAATCTTGGGGAAAAGCTTTTAATTGTATTGCTGCCGATTCTGTGCTGTTTTATTGGTTGTAGGCCGCCCCTTTTATTAATAAATGAAGGAGTGAACGAAAGTGAGCGGGATCCGGATCTGCTTAACCGACGATTCCTCTCCGAGCATGAGTCGCCCAAAAGAAGAGCCACTTAAAAGACACGGGTTACGTTAAACCAGGGGTCTCCAACCCTTGGCCTCTTTAAGACTTGTGGACTTCAACTCCCAGAATTCCTCAGCCAGCAAAGCTGGCTGAGGAATTCTGGGAGTTGAAGTCCACAAGTCTTAAAGTGGCCAAGGGTTGGAGAGCCCTGCGTTAAACCATGGTTTAATCGTGACATTTCAAATAATAGCTTAATGCACAAATCATAAAATCATAAATCATAAAAAGGCAGGACGAGTTATATTGAACCAGAAATGCGTTTGGTTTGAGTCTAGGAAGTCACGTTGAGGGTGCCTGCCTGCCTGATGTCGGCGAAGTAAACCGAAACAAAGCTCCGTCCGAACTGCCAGAACGAGGCCAGCCGTGGGTCGAAGCTACCTCCGACTGCGCGGGACCGAGCGAGGGAGGGGAACGTTTCAAAAAAAAAAAAAAAAAAAAGGGCCTCTCTTCATCTCGGCGATGAGGGAAGGGCTTTCATTATTTTAGCACGCGACGTCTGTGACGTATTTCCGGCCTGGCCGTGGCGGCTGGGGCCTATGTACAAGTGGTTCTGTGAGACTCTGCGTTCTTGGGTATCCTCGCCTTCCTCTTGTCAGCGGGATGCGGAGCCTCTTTTACCTCGACCGCGGAAGAGACGGTATCGCAGGTGAGAGGAGCACGGCATCCATCTTCTCGGGGCTGCTGCTGCTGCAGGCTAGTCTGGGCAATCGGACAGCTTCCCGGAAAGAGGAGGTGAAGGCAAAATACTTCCGTGATGCCTCCCCGAAAATTCGGCGTGAGTCGAGAGAGACTCAACGGATGCGGGGTAGGATGTGAACGCCCGCATGGTAGCCCCAGCTAGGGTTAAAGTGGGCGTCACATCACCTCCCTTCAGCCTTGACTTCCTGGGTCTTCCCTTTCTCTCGGCTAACGTTCGCTTTTCCTTCTTATATCCTTTTTTTTTTTTTTTCAATTATTCATTTTTATCCCTCCTTTGTTAATTGTATTGAATAATTCAAGGTGGGGAAAATACCTAAATGTTCCTTTCCCCCTTCCAAAGTCACCCATCTGGCTTTGATGCCTGAGGCGGGCTTTGACACCTGCCAGTCTCCTGGTTTCTAGCCTGATGGCTGTAACCACTAGACCAAAGTGGGCTCTTAGATCCTTATTGATTCCTCCTTCTGGGAATGGATTCACAGAATAGGAAAATTGTGGCTGGACGATGAGGTTCCCCCCAAACAGAGGGTCTGGTAGCATTTTTTCCAGCTAACAAAATTTTAATAAAAGGTGTACATGTTTATAAGCTGCAGCTCACTTCATCAAATGCATAGAGTTATTGAACCGAGGTAAGATTTAAATTGGGATGAGGTTGTGGGGGTGGAGGAGGGTAAGACATTATGTTTATGTGGATGCAGGATGGCCTCATCCCTGTGGAGCATCCCATCCCCCCCCTCGGAGAATTGCTCCCATCATTTTGGCCTCCTGGAAGGGTATTAAAACTTGGCTTGGGGTGCTCAACACTGGAGGTAGTTAACAGGGGTAAGAGGACTTCTTTCTCCGTCGTCCCTTAATTTTGGATTTTATATAGCTTTTAAAATTTTAATCGGCAAGTTTTAATATTATAATGTTTATTTGTTTATTTGTTTAGAGGATTTATATGACTCTCAGTGACTCTGGGTGGCTTACAAATAATAAAAAATCCCAATATTAAAAGAATAATGACATAACTCCCAACCCCCTTGGTGACAGTCAATCAAATGGGCTTGATGGGCTCCATCTCATTCTGGGTTCCCCAGGCTTATTGGCAAAACCAGGTTTTCAGGGCATTGCAAAAGAGTGTCAAAGTGAGGCCCAGCCTAATCTCTGCGGGGATAATATTTCAAAGGAAGGGAGCCATACGGAGAAGTATATTATATATATATATTTCTTTTTGTTTCATATGTAAACCGCCCAGAGTTAACTTATAGGGAAATGGGCAGCATCAAAATTAAACGAATAAATTAATGAGAGACAGATTAGAGCAGGGCTGTCAAACTCCTGGCCTGCAGGCCGGATGTATCATGCGCTGGCCACACCCAGTTTAGTGAAGGGGAAAAAAGTCCCAATACGTCACGTGACACCACTGTGACGACGTGAGTTTGACACCTCTGGATTAGAGCATTTCAACTCCCGGGATCACTTTATAATTGCCGATCTCAGCAAACATTTTGGAAAAAGTCATTTTTAATGTGATTTAAACATTCAAATAATTCTTTTTGCTGTAGAGTATTAATGAATTATTTTTTATGAATATCACAGATCATACAATGTCCCAGTTATTGATGTAGAGAATTTTAAAAAATAATATGAGCCTTTAATTTATAGTTGTGTGAATCATTTCTTTAGTCAGCATTACTGTTCATTAAACACATTTTTTTTCCTCCTTAGTTGTCAGTCCTATGTAGAAGAGCCTGATCAGGAGCAAGCAAAAAGACAAAAACTTGGTAATGTCTACTTTCTGTGGTGGTTTCTCATGACTAAAATATAACTTAATAAATATTTGAAAGGATTTTATTCTTCCTTGTTCACAGAGGTTTAACATATATTTCAAGAGCAAATTGTGATAATTAACAATTATGAAAAATGTTTTGAATTAAAAGGAGTAATGCTCAACTCATGAAACATTGTTTTAGTACTAAGAAATCATCTTAGAAATGTTTCAAGTTTAGAACAATGCTGTTTCAATGCTTTTGGAAATACGTAACCAGTTTTGAACTCGAAACAACTAATTTATTAATATCTAAAGCTATAAGTAATAGAAGTCTCCTTTGCTGCCTGTAAGAAACATTGCTATACAATCATAGGAAATTGATGCATAATTTAATTAGAACAAAAAGCAAATTTATTAAAAATAATGTCCATATGGGGAGGATGTTTTATCTGGTATATGGAAATGGAAGAAGGGAATTAAAGTATTGAATTACTGTAAAGCAATATAATAAAAAAGGCACCCACTGAACACCAGATTGGAAGTGTAAAATTGGTGCAAGCAGAAGTATTTCAAGAAAAATGAGGAGAAGGAAAAGAAAAGCCTGTTCTAAAACAGGCAAAATATCTGCTTTTCCAAATTTTACTGAAGGATTTTTAACAATCAGCAGCAGCATCCATTGCTCATGATTTAATTTTATAGTGAATTTTTTAAGATTTCCACAGTTAGGATTTCTTTTGTATAACTGCAAGTGAGGTGGATCTAATAAAAAAAGATAATAATCACTTCACTGTTTTGGATCATTTTGGGAATCTGGTGTTCTATATGAACCATGAATGAATAAATAAAATGAATATTATATTTGAACCAAGATACACCTTGACTGATCCCTACTAATAGAAAACAAAAACTTTCCCCTAAACCTTTGTACTTTCAATAGATTGTAGAATGTTAGAATAAAAGAACAGGAAGGGAATGTATTTTAATAAATATGTCTCTTAAGCCAATACAATGTTTATAAACAGGAAAGTGCTAAATGCTGTCATAGCAGATACATCCTTCCAGTACAATAAGACAAGTCAATGACATCACCCTATGTGTGTTTTTCAAGTCTCAAAGTTTGCTGCAGATATTGCTAGACCTATCGCATGAATTTTGGCAAATGCGAGAATAACATTTGGAACAAAATTCATGTTCCATGAATTTTATTCCAGATGTTATTTTTACATTTGCCAGAGTTGAATCAAATGAACTCAAGAGTCCTTTCATTTATAAATATGATGTTGTTTTGCTTTGAAGGTCAGCATTACTGACTATAATCTTAATGCTTTTAACTTTTTCCAGATATTTTTGGTATACTAACTCAAGGAATTGTCAGCCTGATTAAGCTACCATCCCACTTAACAGCTAAATATCTTAAAGTTGGAGATCAATATGCTGAAACTACAAAAGAGGTTTGTGTGCCTTTTGAAAAGATAAAAATAAAGTGCAAGTATTTTGTTTGCAAATTAAATCCTTGGGTTTGTGATATTTTGTCTTCTGGAATAGTAACATGATTAAATTAAATAGAGAAAGAATGGAATATATCATTTCCAGAAGTTGGAAGCTATTCAAGCTAACATATATATTTTCTCCAGTTGGGCTGAGAAACAGAGGCCCAAAGTCACCAAGTGAACTTTGTATTTGGAAATTGATGTCAGCCTTGTGTCCTTAGTCTTACCATTACTGTGTTAACTACCTCTGCCTTATTTCACAAGCAGCAAAGCAAACTGAGCAAGGATATTTTCTTTAGTTTCCTCTTGCTTCTTCAGAAAAAGACAAAGCAAACAAGTACTTTCTTGCTGGTCCTTAAGACTAGCTATAGAGCTGCTGAATGAATGCAGGAGAAATGAATGCTAGTGAGTGGGAAAAAGCTTTCATTGTTAAGAGATGAACAGGAAAGCAACATTCTTCCATATGTAATGCCAGGCTCTTTTAGAGCTTTTTGATGGCAGCTCAGAGAGTACTGGTCTACATTTTTAGGTAAAGCAAGTATGTTATTCTTCTAGGGAATGAATTAGTGGATCTTAAAGGGAAAAGTCCCTGATGGCCCTATAAATGGCACCTATATAGTTTAATACCACCTAGATTTTGTGGCTGAGGGCTTTGTTTATTTGACATAACTGAAGTAATACTAATGCAAATATTTTCAAGTTTCTTTCAAATGCTTCTGATGCCTTGGCTGACAAGCAGATGCAACCTAACTGTGAGATGCAGATGTGTAACTTTGGTAAGTCAATAGATACAGTGGCTATATTTCAGATCCAGTTATTCTAATGGGTGTATTCATTTTCCTTTGCAATAGTATAATTATTTTTGTTTTTGGTGAAGTACTTAACTCTCATATGGCAAATTATAAATTGAAAAAATATTGATGTTGATTTTGATTAAGCTCATGTTATAATTCCTTTAAATTAGATTGTGCTATTGATTTTACTTGTGCTAAGATGTAATTTACTCTTATTCATGGTAGACCATTGCTTATAGGTATTGGGTCTACACTGAACGTTCTTAAGTAGTTATGGGCATTTCTTTTACCACTTCCTTCCCATATGTGCTTCGTATATATTGAGCTTTTCTTGTTCTTCCATGCTGTAGTATGTATCTCTTGTATTGTTTGTGTTTAGATCAGTTGAGGAAAAGTGTTCTAGAATGCTGGAGTTTCCTTATAAGTCAATTGTTGGCAGACTCAGTGGATTGCATCATATAGCCATTCGTAGCCAATACATCTGCCTATGACAATGAGTTTTGCTATGTCTTTGATATGACAGACTTGAATAATTCTTTGGAGTAGAGCCATATAAGATAAAAATGATGAGTGTTGTCTATGGAATTAGCTGTGATGAATCTTACTATCTTTCCCATAGATAAAAAAGCAAGTTACGGTACCTGTATTCATCCAGATGTAGCAACTGACTCTCATATTCCTGTGACTTATATGAGGTAAAACCTTTAATTTTCTCTGGTGACCAACAGAGAATGAAATTCTAAGAACACATGGCCATTATAGTACTCCCCTTTGGAGTTTTTTCTCTGTCTGCTCTAACATAAATAATTAGTAATAATAGTATTATTAGTAATAATAATTAGGGGCTGTCACAGAGAGGAGGGGTTAAACCAATTCTCCAAAGCATCTGAGGGCAAGACAAGGAGTAATGGATGGAAGCTTAATAAAGAGAGAATCAACCTAGAATTAAAGACAAATTTCCTGTCAATAAAAACAATTATTCAGTGAAATGGCACCTTTAGAAATTGTGGGTGCTCCATTTTGGGAGGTTTTTAAGATATTAGATAGCCATTTGTCAAGATGCAGTGTTTTGTTTATACACGCGCACACATGCACACAGATGTATTGAATATATTAACCACCTTATGTTGCTTGTAAAAAATACTAAAGGTGGGATATATATATCCATCCTACCATTATTATTATTATTATTATTATTATTATTATTATTATTATTAGAATAAACATATATACCCATACACTCACAAACACACACTACACACACACACACACACACACACACACACACACACACACACACAGAGCAACAACTCTGTGGGGTGGTTTGGGTTGAGAGAGTGATTAGCCCAAAGACCCCCGCTTGCTTTCATGGCTAAGGCAGGACTTAGACTCACAATATCCTGCTTTCTAGCCTGGTGCCTTAACCATTAAGTGACCAATGTGGCTTTATCCTCATCCTCAATTTAGAATGCAAGGAGAATTAATGTATATGCTTTGTTGGGCATTGTATATGAGACATAAACCTGCCTTACAAGGAGTTTTCATTTATGGATGTAGGTAAAATACTACAGAAAAATTGTTTCTAAATTGCATAAAGTTCAACATCAACTCTATACATTTGGCCATGAAGCATTATGTGAACTTAGAAAAATGAAATGTGTGAAAGATGGTCTGTAATTAATTATGCTTTCTCTGACATTTTTTATGTCCAAAATAACAGTAGCTTGAATTTTTGTGATTGAAATAATATAAATAAGAATAATTCTTCTTTAGCAATCCTCAAATATATGCCTTTTCAAAATGACATGTTGTTATCCAAATAGACATGCAAATTTCGCAGTGTATTTAATTTTTATATTATTTCTTCTACCAGAGATGACTTTAGTTTCAAAAACAGTAATAAGAAAAGTCATAATGTGCTTCAAGAGGATTTGCGGCCATGGAGACATATTACTCGCAGACATTCATTAGAAGCTTCTGCTTTAGAGACTGGAAGGTATCTAAGGAAACCTCATTATACTGTGGAAGAGGCAAGTCCACAGATATATAAACTTGTATTTTAAATAATCTTTTATAGCAGATACATTACTACAAAATATTTGAATATGGTGCTTGATTCAGTGAGGTGAAAGTTTCAGGCAGAATGTATGTTAAATTGAGCTATATTAAGATTTATAGTTTCTATGTTCAGCATAAGAATTGGAAGAATATATGTAATACTTATCCTATGTAGAATTTTGATTGAAGTCAAGACACTTCCACCTCATGTCCAAACAAACTAATATTTCTTACCATGACAAAGTACGTTGTACTTTGTTTTTGTTGTCTTTAGCCTCTCACTTTTGTAAGTGTGATTTTGGGTCATGCATTTTTGTAACTGATGGAGTGTGGTGTATGTTCCAAGTGACTCAGTTGTTTGGGTCTTTAAGAGAAGCTGCTGACATTCTGTTCATGCCTAATAGTGAATAATTATGTTGGCAGTATTAATACTAGGATGCTTATTTAAGGAAATATCCAATTTCATCTTTTACATGTGTGCTTTTTTGTATACATATGTGCACAAACACACTAATGCAGGTACGCCCATCCTTCCCTTTAAAGGGCCCAGGACATTCTAATTAGTGCAGTTGACTGATATTCTGCAGATTCAATAAAAGAGCAAAAGTAATTCAGCCCCAATGCCTTTATCAGCTCAGCACAGGCTTGAATTTGACATCATACCCATATCTATTTCCATTTCTCATTTTCCATTAACATCAGTCCAGATATCTCTTTGCCTGCTTAATTTCCTAGAGCTCTTTGGAAAACCAAGGACCTGCATAGGATCAGTGGCTGGAGAGAGGCTGTTTAGAGATAATCCTGCCTGATGGCCTGGTTGCCTCTGTGTTCCAATAGATTAAAACAGGACTCAACATATATGTCCTCCAGATATCTAGGAAAACCCCAAATAGCATCTGAAACCACTGCAGATCCATAAGGCTTCTGAAGTGAACCATCTGAACAAGTCTTTCCTCCTTGCTGAGTCTGATGGCTCTAGTTAGGAGAGAAAGTAAAGATCACTAGAAAGTCCAACCCTATCTCATCTGCTGCAGGAAAAAGGCCGGATCTAATAGGTAGCTAGAAAAGTAGGCTGGCCAGTGATGACATAGTGGTTGCGACTGTCAAAAGGTTTTGAGCTTTCTTCAAATCCAGGACGAGATTAAAGTTGCCAGTATAATAGTCTGACAGAATCCATAAGCGCTCCCTACAATAAAATCAAACAGCTTGCAAAGACATACTGTCATGTAGTTGGAGAAGCAGTAGAACAGTAGCAACCTCAGTCTGCCTCTTTGGCCCTGCCTCACAATCCTAACATCACATCTGCTAAACCTGCAGAAGAGTGTGTATCACAATGCCAAAGGTCTTCAGATACATGCCAACTCCTCTGCCTAGAGTTGGGACTGATGCCAAGTACAGAATTTTGCTGAAGGAATCTCATTCATCTGACTAAACGTCAGAAAAACATGCTGGCTTGCCTTCCCATCCACAATCATGTCTTGCACAGGGAGACCTACATTCAAAAACATCAGCTTGAGGCTGGAGGGTCTAGCAATCCAGTTGTCTGGTTCCTGCATAGACATTGGTAGGTAGGAAGTGGATAAAATGATTTCTCCTGTTTTACAGAATGAAATCTCAAGCATAGTACCAAAGGGCACACTTAAAACATGAATTTTAAGTATTAAGTTTATTATGCTCTTAAACATAAATAATTGTAATACTTGTTTTATCCTAGGGAGTTCAAAGACTGGAACAAGAGAAATACAAAGAACTACTCAAGCAAGAAAAAGAAAAGAGTCTTAAAATTCACTCTTCTGGTGCAGTAGCAAAATACCATGAGTAAGTTCTTGCAGAAAAATAATATTTAAAGTGAGGCAATGAAATAAACTGGAAAAGCAATTGGAATTTTGCAGGCTAGATATTGTGAATTAGAAATACCATCCTAAAGTATATGATGCAGTACTATTGGTTGCATTCATATTCCACTCTAAACTTAAATCATGAGTTAATGAATTAGAATGTCCACTAGGGGTCCCGTTTTACCATTTCACTTCTCCCTTCATACATGTGGAAAAACAAGTCAGGATCATATTTAACCTGTTTCTAGAAGTGACATCTGAAGTGCAGATATGTCTTTCTAAGCTAAATGTAAAGCTGTTATAAATTCAGACTTGTTTGCAATTATTACATGTGATATTAACCTGTTAAAATGTGAAATATTCTTTGTTAGCTATATAAAGGTTTTTATCTTTCAAATCTATGGAATATCTACCATATAACCCTATTAATGATTAAATTCCAGTATTAAATAAGTTGATATACAATATGTAAAATGTAGATTAAATTCAATGCCATGCTTTACTGTCAAAACTTTTTTCCTTAACAAAACATTACTTATTTTGTTCTTTCAAATGCATTGAATAAAGTGTCCAAGATTATGCCACTGGATCCTTAAAGTTTGATCTCATCCCTTCATCTGAAATGCCAAGAAATGGTAAGTAATAATAGTGAAAAAATGCAGCGAAATAAATTACAGTTTAAGTGGGATATTAAAGGAAGGATTGGAATCTTTCTAAAAATGTATAGTTACTATAAGTGAAAAAAGAGATTAAAGTATAATAAAAACACCTGATAATGTATACTCTGGCCAAAATATAATTGCAAGGTGAGTGGCATATTCACCTTTGTACTTTAGTTACCAGTATTTTTATTTAAAACCTTGTCGTTACATTTTATACTGGTAAACATTTGAAATGTTGTAATTCAGGGTCTGTCACTTGCCCTTGTTAGTTTATAAAAATTATCTCCAGTTTTTGTATCTTTAACCCTTCTACAGTATTTTCCCTCTTAAACTTCTCTCAGAAGCCTTAGAATAAGCATTTACTTTCATTGCTATATTTGAGTAGATTAAGATGAGTTATTATCTTAAAGTTATCTGTCCAGTGGATTAAGATAAACTATTTACGTATTTTTCAGATTATAAGCCACTCCAAAGTAATAAGACGCACCTAGCTTTTGGGGAGGAAAACAAGGGGGGGGGAAAATCTGTCTCTGCCTCCCAGTAATTTACCTCCTTGCAGCAAACAGCAAACAGCCTGATCAGCTTCAGCACAGCCTGATTTAGCACAAGCAACTGATTGGCGGTTGGATTGGCCTCCCAGAATAACGCCTATCAGGTGTTCCAGGCTGCAGGGATCACCACTGCCAGTTGCTGCCCATCACTGCCGCCTCCTATCCCCGCCTCCTGGAATGGGCCAAAAACAGGACGTGTGGAGGCTGAAAATGGGGTGCACGGAGGCCAAAAATGGGATGCGTGGCCAAAAATGGGGCGTATGGCGGTGGCGATGGGCGGCAGCAGCGATGGGCGGCAACAGTGGCAACGGGTGGTGACAATCTCTACAGCCTAGAATAGCTGATAGGCAGTATTCCAGGAGGCTGATCCAACCACCAATCAGCTGCTTGTGCTAAATCAGGCTGTGCTGAAACTGACCAGGCTGTTTGCTGTTTGCTTCAAGGAGGTAAATTGCTGGGAGGCAGAGACCGGCGGGTGGGGGCCGGCGGGTGGGCGGGGCTTCGGCAACATTCACTGTATAAGATGCACAGACATTTCCATCCACTTTTTTTGGAGTGGGGGGAAGTATGTTTTATAGACTGAAAAATACGGTAAGAGATAACATTAATTACCTAGTCCACATGATCTCAATACCTTATCTAAATTAACTTATTTGTTAGATTTTTAATGCTATCTTTTCTGCAAGAACTGGCAATGCAATTCTTTAATTTTTTTCACACAATTGTTACCAAATGAAGAAGGTGGGGTTGAAAGCCAGGGTCTTGCCCAGCCATTTAGTGAGGATTTAAACCCATAATCAGCAGCTTAAATATTACTAAATACAGCTTAAATACTGATGTATTCCATCTCTACATTTTCCATTTCTACATCTAAACTTCTGTCATCTTAACTATCCCTCTTAACTTAATCACAAGGCAGATTCAGTTTGGAAGAGGTGTTTTGGAAAGCATGCGTGTGGATCCAAATCTTTCTGCAACTCATTAAAAGAGTTGCATTTTTTCAAGATTGAATAGTTGCTGAGAGGGAGCTACTTTCATGTATTCCAATACCTTTTCCAAATCAAATCAAATCAAATCAAAACATTGCCTAACCTTACTGCATTATAATAGTATCAAGCATCATATAAACTTTCTAAAAAAGTAATATTTCCTTCAAGTCAAGCTCAATTCCCAATAACTTCATAGACACAAACGTGCAGTTTTCCTAGTAAAAATACATGTGGTCTGACATTGCCTCCTTTAGGGTTTCTTTTTCACTTTGAATCTGGCCTGCAGTCTTGGTTGATGCTAGTACTGTAAGGGACTAGCGTTGAAGTTTATTACTTTTTCTTTGCGAAGGAATAAGAAAGGAAGTATATTAATTTTTATTTGAAGTAAGCAAGATGATTCTTATATTGCTGCTTGTAGACATCACTTTTGACTCTAAGCAGGTTTGTGCTTCATCTGATTTTTTCTTATTCCTTTAATTTTTTTAAAAAAGGACTGTTAATGACAAAACAGGTAGTTCTCAACCTACAATCATTCATTCAATTATGGCGGTGCTGATGAATGGTGGTTATGAATGGTCCTTGGAATTGTAGCCATGCTAGCACCCTGCGGTCATATGATCATGATGTGGGCACTTGGCCACAGGTTTGGACTTATGACTGGTTGCAGTGCCTGTTTATCACTTCCGGTTCACCTGAACCGGTGCAAACCGGTAGCATTTCAACACTGGTTTGCATCAATAACTGAATTCTTCTTTAAAAAGCTTTCTTTTCTAGGCTAATTACTAAGAAATGAAAGAATACATCTGTAAAATGTGTGAGACAACCAATGCTCCTTTAAATATCACCAATGTGTAGGGAGGGCAACTGAGTTACTTTTATTATATCCTTTCTTTAAGGAATCAAAAACTTTGGTCACTTGGGCTCTAAAAATGATATGAGCAGGTAAGTGAAAGTTCATTGGTTTATAATTTGTGGTTTTAAGAGAAGGTTAGAACCTAGGAAATATTTTCATCAGGTTTCGTTTAGCATTCGTTTAGCGGAAGAACAAAGCACTCATATCTAAATAGTTATGTGCTACTGTGAGCATTTATTCTATATATCATCTTTTGGCATCTGTCTGTGCCATGAGCCATGAGCATTTGTGCTATAGATAGAGATATACTGGTTCAGAGTGAAGCAAATTTGAAATTGGATGTTACATATTAACTTTAGTACAGACTTACAAAACATAAAATTTAAAGAGACAAATTAAAATGAAAAGCTCCTTCATATTTTTCTGTATTTTGAAAATATAGTGGATGTAGTATAATTTTTAAACATTTCATTTAATAATGCTGTTCTGGAACTTTTCCAGTGAAAAACACAGTAATTTGATGTTTTTAAACTCTAGAGGTATCCTTAGTACTGTGACTTAACATTGAGATCTGAGCTTTACCTTAAACAAAAAGCACAAAAACAATGTTCTGTGTTACAACTTTAGTGAACACATTATCTTTATTAGAAAAAAGTATATAAAGTTTTAGATTAAATAACTGATGGCACTTTCTTTAATAGCATTGGTTCCACCTACCATTTTCGGTCCCTGATAATCAGACCTGCACATGAGCATGCAAATATTTATTTTGGCTTAATCTTTCTTACATAATTGCTTTAACCTATTGATATCTTTGGGCTCTCTTGTATGAACTCTTTGCTTCTGATTATGCCATGAGGTTCTGTTGGATTAAGTCCAGGGCTTTGTTTCATCCATTTCAAAATACAGAATTTTTCTACTTTAGCCCTTCTATTATAAATGTACTTGCTCTGTTTAGGATCATTGTTGTGTGGCTTGAGCCCAATTCATTTAAAATTCAACTCACAGGCAGATACCCTGACATCCTCCAGTAGAATTGGCTAGTAAATTATATTGTTCCCTCAATGAATCCATTGTTCCCTCAATGAGAGCAAGGTCTCTGGATCCTGAAGCTGCAAAGCAGCTGCAAACCATACCATTTCCACTGCTATGCTCCAGAGCTGGAATTAAGTTCTTTTTTTGGAATGCAAGATTTGATTCTTTCCTAATGCGATATTTCTCTTTAATGCATAAAACTTCTACTTTCAACTGATCTGACCACATTGCAGAATCAATTTTTTGTTGCAAAACTCCTTTTCAAACTTAAGATGGGCAGGGATGTGCTTTCTGATAGTAGTGATTTCCTCCTTGATACCCTCCTGTAAACATTACTTTTGTTTTTCAAAGAAAAACCACAAGTCCATTTGCCTCTTTAAAAAGCACATTTGGGATTACTTTTTATGACTGCTGCATTAGGCTATAGAGGAATGGCCTGTAGATCCTTTGCTGTTACCCTGAATTCTTTATAGCCTTTTGGAATATTATATGCCTTGCTGTTGTGAACTTTGTTGGACAACTATTACTGGGAATTAGTCACAGTGTGCATTTTCTTCATTTTTACATTTTAATGTCTGACCATTGATGGCAATTTTGTAAGCCTCCTATTCTGATGAGCATTGATAACTATTTTTCAAGTTCTGCAAGTCTCTCTGGATCAAGACATCATTCACTTCCATAAACTGTGTCATGAAGAGCAGATTCAAAGAATATGAATATTGGCAGAGTGTGTTCAGTAGATCATGACATTGTATTGTGTTTTGGTTTTTAATCAGAATCACTTCTGGTTAAAAATATAGATAGTCTAGATCAGGGGTGTGAAACTCAAGGCCCAGGGGCTGGATCTGTCATTCAGGGTGCATAGATCTGGCCCGCGGGACTGCCCTGAAAACACTGCTGGCAAAGGCCCTCAGTGCCTCTGCCAGCGAAACCTGAGCTCCATTTTCACTGGCAGAGGGTTGCAGGAGGCTGCTGCAGCCGAAAATGGAGCTTGCGAGGGCCATAGGTGGACCTCCCAAGCTCCGGTTTTGCTGGCAGAGGGTTGCAGGATGCCGTCACAGCCAAAAACAAAGCTCGGGAGCCTGTTTTCACTTGCAGAGTGCTCAAGCCACCATAGGTGCCTCCAACATAAGTGATGTCGAGCTGGCCCCACCCTGGCCACACACACCCAGCCCCCCCAGATCAAACAACCCTGATGTGGCCCTCAATGAAATCGAGTTTGACACCCCTTGTCTAGATGAAGGTCTCATCTCTTATAGAGCCTAGTGTTGCAGAATCATAGATAATTCTAACATGCTAACAGGCTTTCTCTCATCTCTGTACTACTTAACATGTTTACAGATTTTAAATATTGAACCAAACTTTTACTTCTAGATCCTTTTTTATATGGTTGTAGTGATTTTCTAATACTTCAGCAATAACATTTTTGTGTGAAAGGATGAGCCACTGAACAATGTATAATTTAGTTCTTCATTCTTTGTATTCCACTTCATTCTTTGTATTCCACTATAATCAACATTTATAGGATTATTCTGAAGGACTGCATTAGCTTAGCAGATATAAAATGCTTGTAAAATTCTTTCTGATAATGAAAGTGTTTCTTTCTACTTTTGTAATACTCCCAGTAACCTCTTTGTCTCCATGTTTCTGTCAGATCAATAACAATAGCAAAAAGGACAACAGAACATGAAAAGGTATTCGAACAGAAAAAAGAGGTGAGATGCACTCTTTATTGTGATACTTTTCTTTTTTTCTTTTAAATTTTATTAATAATTACTTTAAAATTCAATTAAATTTGTAGCCAACATGTCATTAAAATAATTACAAGAAATGAAATACATTACAATGATACTGCTTAGAATGCCATCATTAATTTTCAAATACCATTCAGGCTAGTCTTCTGAAAATTTTCAACCAAGTATTATTTTTCTTACATTTCAGAATCTTAATTTTTCCTTTTCAATCATTTTCCTAACAATTTTTAATAATGAGCACATAGAATAGAAAGCTTGCAGTCTCAAATCTCCTTTGTTAGAATGTCTCGGGGTTTTCTCAGCCTGGCCTATCTTCTGCTTTAGGATAGTGACTTGATAAATCCTGTTGCTATTACCTTCTAAAGTAGCCTTCTCTGGTATCCTAGTCCCTATCCCTGATGTATCAGAAGGAGAGGGCTATCACATCCCATGCTGTGTTAAATATACAAAAAACAAGCACTTTTCTCCCTCCTTGGGAAATAGAACAATGTCATCAGAGATTTAAAAAATCAACTCATTTAAAAATATGAAGAATCCTTCCTATTTAAATATTAAAATGCAAACATTAATTTTGAGAAAGACAAATTACAAAGGTCTCAAATCACAATGAAACTACTGAGAATTTAAGTAAAAATCTCCTCAAAATCCAGTACCTTAGACAAATTCCAAGATGCCAGGGGTCTGCTGTATAATGGGACGAGATAAAAGATTTCCAAAATAAAGTTACTAGTTTGAAGAAAGTCCTAAAGTCCCTCCCCCCACCCCTCAAGGATCCTGGTTTAAGTATAAAGAAAAACAATTTGTTGTGTAGAATTGTGTGGAGATGGCCTTGAAGGCGGAATTCAATTACCGTTATCTAAATATTAGCCCAAATAGAGGGGATGGAACAAGGAAAGAATTCAAGATTGCCCTAGCTTGATTCTATTTAGTATAAGAGAAAAGAGAGAGAGAGAGAATCTCTGTTAAGCTTTTAAGATTTTGTTATTATACCCTATAATGGTAGAGTTCCATTTTTTAAAATGTCTTTAAATTGTTACAGTCACCTACTTGAACAGATTCTGGGCCACTTAAAACATAAGGACAACTCAGGATAAAACAACCATAACAACAAAAAACTACCATAGGGCTTCCACAAACCCCAGATCTTAAAACCCTTCCCACACCTCAGGTGTGCACTGAGCACACTGTCCATATCTTTGAGGGAATGGCAGGGTCTGTGATAGAGATGTCACACATTTTCCCAGTCCTGCAAGATCATAATGTTTCATAGAGGGGGCCTGTAGCACACTCATTACCTCAAAGATGGGTTGGGATAATCTCAGGGAGGGAGGGAGGAAGGGATTATTGTTTAAAATCTCTTAGCCACATTTGAGTAACGTTTGTGAATTCTGCCTTCTTGAACCATTTGTCCAATCTTAATATATTAAGATTTAAATACTTGGCATAATGTTATAGCAGGTATGTGTTTATTTCTAAGGAACATCTTGGAGTCTGAGAACTTTTTTAGTTCTGACTAGTAAAATTGTTAGATGCCAAGTTGTTTTATCTCCAATCAACAGGTTAGTATTGTAATATACACTACACTAATAGAGTGTTTTCCTGTTTTACATGTAGAAGTATATTGATTAAAATGAAATTATCTTATCTGGACATGGATAATTAGCATTGTTAAATGTATAATGTAGAGTACAAACCAGAATGATGGTTGTATTTTTTTAATGACTTGCTGAAATTGTTCAGATTTTTTTGTAATGGATCTATCAATGTATTATTTAAGATTTCCTTCCAAACCAGCTGGAATTGTACAGTCAGGAACCCTTCTAGGAAATTAGTGGTTTAAAATGTATGTTGCCAAGGGGAGGGGGAGAAAAAGAAATAAATAGCTCAGTGACATGAATTTCATTATTTGCAGGTATAAGATTTAAGTTCAGTCCCTGATGAATTCCAGTTCCACATCAGTTCAGATATGATGTGGACGATCATGACTAAGATCCTAGAACTTTACTGTTGGAATAGGTAATGTTGGACTTGGTGAACAGTCTGTTTTGAGGTAGTTTCCTATGTTCAACTCTGCTAAAACCTTCCATGCTGTTGACTGCAGTGCTAAAGAAGCAATTGCAAGCCCCTAACCTGAGCATTTTACTATTTGTCAGGTAGCCAGGCATATTCCAAGAGTGAGAAAAAGAAAGAGTAAACCCTTCAACATTTTTTCTTCCTTGAAAGTCAACCTCATGGCGCAGGGAAAGATTCAACCCTTCTTTTTTATCCCATGTCTCAATCTCAGAGAACCATAAACTCGTTACTTCTCCCCTTCCTTTTAAAAAGTTTACTGTAGTTTATAAGCCAAAAGAGTTCACTGCGGGAAAAAGATACAGTTTGTCAACTGAATGATCCTTTTTTCTGCCAGTCTGATTGGAAAGGGATTTCCTAGTTTGTTGTTTTATAAAGAAGCTTTTGATGGGATTCTTTTGTCTTTTGAAGGACTCCTTTCCATGAACAATTCAATTACAGACTTTGATTTGGCAGTTTCTTTTTTCCATTTTATTTACAGAGGTCCATGCAGCCTTTGATGGGAAATGATCTATCAGAAGAAGTATCACTTAGATTAAGCCTGGTCCAGAAAGAATCGTCACGCAGAAGACGTTCTCTGGTTGAAATAAGAGAAAAGTATCTGAGTTTGGAAAAGGCTACAGAGTGCTTCCCTGAGTTTACAAAGGTAGGCATTAAAGGACTAAGTTTACTTGAAATTAGCTCCAGATATGTTCTGTTTTTATTGTCCCCAGTATAGGAATGTAATTTATGTCAAGGAATAGTCATTCAAATTAGATTATACCAAAACTGTTATTTTCAGAATAAAGTATGCTAGAAATAAGATATTTGTGTTCACTTTTTTCTTTACAAGATAAAACAACCTGAATATGTTGTTTCTACCCTCGCTTCACTTCTTCAAAATGACTAAGTTTAGTTTTAATATTAACTGTTTATGATCTTCATAGTATAAAATGTTCTTCCAGGATATGGAAAAAGAGATAGCAAATGCTCTGAGCTATGGTCAAGATGATGAAATTTTGACTAGCGCCTTCAAGCTGAATATTACGCGAAGAGACATTCAAACACTAAGAAACCAGCAGTGGCTCAATGATGTGGTAAAATAATTTTACTCATTAGTAGCTAAAGTTTCATTAGTCCTTTGTTGTAGAAATAACTGTAGTGCTCTATCACAGGGTTGGAAAGCTTCTGATCTAGAGGCCTAAATTGCTCATCAGACCAGTACATCTGGCTTGCAAAATATTGAGTGAGGTCATCTCAGTCCCTTTCTGCTTTTAATTTCCCTCATAAGAGAGAGATGGAAAGGCAGCACAGTGCCACTTCATCTGCTTCATGACAGTTTGTCCAGTGTGCATCTTCTTCCTAAATAAGGAAAATGTGATTGTTTTTTAAGCTTGTTTCATCACCTTATTCAGAGCAGGTGGGAACTGGAACTGGCCTGTGGACTGGATTAATTCCCTTTTTTGCCTTATTGAATTGTAACTTCCTGAGCCCTTTGTATGTTTTACAGGAAGTTCTAATTTAGCGACCACAAGCGAGATCAGCAACTTGGTCATTAAGTTGTTAATGTGGAACCACAGCTTTGCTTCTGAATTTACTTCAATTTTTCTTTACAGGCCTGTAAAGGTCATAAATGTGAGGATTGGTCACAAGGTTACTTTTTCTCATTGTATAATTGCAAATGATCGCTATACAAGGCAGTCATTAAATGAGGACTGCCTGTACACTATTTCAAGTGTACTAATAAAAAGCAATTCTCAAGGCTATTTTTCAAGAATAGAAATATTCCAATAAAGGCTTTGTGGGAATATCTATAAAAATAGCCCTGATAATTAATTGCATTTTATTAGTACATTTGAAATAGTAGATGTATGTTTATGTATGTCTGTATTTCCTCCTCTTATCTTGTCTCTTCTCTTTGATTATAGGTCATTAATTTCTATATGAATCTTCTGGTTGAGAGAAATAAAATGCAAAGATTTCCAGTACTTTATGCTTTCAGTACTTTCTTCTATTCCAAGCTAAATTCTATGGGTTATAATGCAGTAAAAAGATGGACCAAAGAAGTTGATTTATTCCAGCATGACATAATCTTGGTGCCTATTCATATCAGACTACATTGGGCATTAGTGGTAAATACATTTTGGCTTTTCTGAAATTCTTTGGGTGATGAGGATATAATGTGATGGTTGCCTGCCTGATTCTACTAAAATCTTCACTTTGTTGTAGGTTATAGATTTGAGGAGAAAAACTATCAAATATTTTGATTCAATGGGACAAAATGGCATCAGGATCTGCATGAGATTGTTGTAAGTAGATATCTAGTAGTACAAAAAATATCCATTTTTACTTTTTTATTAGATTGGTAAAATGAACCATTACTTCTGTTGACTGCTGTAAACTTTGGGTGGATATTTTTTTCACATTTTTTGTATTAAAAATATACCATGCAAAACTTTATTTCCTCTGAAGAGTGATGATCTTAATTCTTGGGGAAAATGTTATCACTGTTTGTTATGATTTTATTGAACAGACAATATCTGCAAGAGGAAAGTAAAGCAAAGAAAAACCTGGATATTAATGTTTCATCTTGGACACTTTACAGTATGAAGCCTCATGTATGTGCAACTTCTTTTTCCCCCCATTTCTACTGTGCATCTAAACTTCTAAAATGGTCATTTCAGCAAGATTCAAGTATTAATTTAGGAATAAATATTTTAGTCTTCACACACACCCAATTTCCCTTCTATACTGATTTCAGTACTTCAGTTGTGGCTTCTTCAAACCACAGCTTCCTTATTGCACATAAAATGGGTCTGTGGTTTAAAAAGCAACACATAATTAAAGCACTTCAGAGGTATGGGAGGATGTGTTGGGTAAGAGAAGGTGCTCAGGTCTGATTTACTCAATCATAGATACTTAACTAGAATTATTATATCTAGACCTGATTTAAGTGCAAATATAGATGCCGTGAAGTCCTATTTAAACGGATATTTGTGTAGTTCCTGAATCTCCAGCATAAACCTATGCTTTATTAAAAATAAAATGTCTTTTATTAGGTGAAAGTTTCTAAAACATCAAGTGATATTCCAGTCATTGGTGATGCGGGGGGAGGGGAGAGTTGCCTCCTTTGGCTCATACTATGTTGGGTGTTGCAGGGTTTGATGCTCTGTCCATCAACATCTATAGGAAGTTGCTGGGTGAGCTTATCTGTCACCATGGGGTGAGGTGTCATTAGTACCCTGAGGATTCCCAATTATTCATCTCAGCCTCTGGCAAATTAAGTGTTGCTGTGCACATTTTATCTCGTTGCCTAGAGGCTATGAGAGTCTGGATGGGGAAAACAGACTTCAGCTGAACTCTGGAAAGACTGAGTGGCTTGGGATTTGGGGACTTGCCAGTTCCAGGTTTATTCTATTTTTGCTGCTGGATGGGATTGCATTGTCCCAAAGAGATCCCATGTATAATCTCATAGTCTTCCTGGATTCGGGAATCATGCTTGAAGAGCAGGTGTCAGTCATGGGAACAAAAAGTGTAGGAGAAGGACTGGCAGAGCCAGGGGGAGGAATTAAAAGAGGGATCAGCTTAGAGTTGTTACATAACCACAAGTGAACTAACCCCGCTCAAATACCATTGCTCCTTATCGAACTCTAACCAGGTGCTGATTGTTGAGAAGATTCCTTAGATAGGCTTTTAGCAAAAAAATCAGTTAATCTGAACTTTCAGGTTTTTCGGACCTGACAGAAAGCCTTTGCATAACTTTTTATTGTGTGCTACTTACACCAGTTCCAAGATCGGAGGCTCTGCTCATGATCACTCATGCGCTAGTCCACCTCTCAATTGGATTACTGTAATGCCCTCTTCATGGGGCTACCTTTGAGAGTATCCGGAAACTTCAGCTGGTGCAAAATGCAGCAGTGCGGGGCGGTTATGTGTATCTCTAGAGCAATACAAGTTACACCTCTGCTTCATGGGCTGCATTAGTTACCAATTTGTTTCTGGGTCCAATTAAAGGTGCTGGTTTTGACTTTTAAAGCCCTACAGAGCATGGGTTGGGTTATCTGAGGGACTGTCTCTCCCTGAATATCCCACCAGATTCAGCAGAAGAGGCATGCTTATGGGTCCTGTATGGGAGCTGCATTTGGTGAGTGCCACTTGCTTTATGGAAATTCCCCTCCCCCTGAAATGAGCTGGCTCTATCCCTGTTGATTTTCCAAAAGTCCCTCAAAATCTGGTTATGCCATCAGGCCCGGAGTTCCCAGGAGACCAATGAGATATTGATGTGATTTCATGGATATTAACATCTGTTATTCTCTTTTAGACTTGGGTTTTTCATCTTTTTAATAATAATTGTTTTTATATATTAATTGTTTTTAAAGTTTATGGTATGACTCCCAAAGTTACTTTTTCATGATGTAGGTAGCCTTTAAAATTTGAATGAATAAATAAGCATATCTTAGATTGTGCATCTTTAGGAATTTCCTGTTCCTTAAAGTACAAATTGTTATTTAAATTTTCTGAAATTGAGCAATCAATTTAGATGCCTGTTTAGTTAATGATCTGTTATAGAATTGCTGTATTATAACCTCTTAGGTTTCAGTGATCTGTAATTTAAATAAAACAAGAAAAAGTTAATAGGCTTTCCTGTATATTCCCTTTTCTCAATCTTAGGAAATTCCGCAGCAATTAAATGGCAGTGACTGTGGAATGTTTACTTGCAAATTTGCAGAGTTTGTCTCTAGGGATAAACCCATTGCATTTACACAGGTGAGTTGAAATACTTTAGGAAACAGTTTTCGTGCTGCTCTATCTCTTGAGACAGGTATTTATTTGTTATTAGTTCTGTGGTGGAAACAGTAGGCTGATTATTATTATCCCATTGAATAAGATGTGTAACTTGGAATTGTTAATTACTTTCAAGAATTTTTAGATGAAACTGATTGTCTGGAGTCATATTTGGATTAGATTTTAGGCAGAAACTATTTTGGCTTCCCTTATGTAAGAAGGAGATGGCAAATACCACTCAATTGGCTCGTTTGGATTTCACTGTGTTTGATACCAGTGAACATAATATCCTGAATCAGCTATTAGTTTTTTTTTAAATCTGTTGCAATCATGGAACTTTTACTGACTTAAATCTTAATAAAATGTGTATAGTGTCAATGATTTTACATAACAAGAGTAATTAAAACATGAATAAAATTATAAAACAGGCAATTAAAAAGCAGTAAAAATAGTAGGCTACATCTTTAAGTCTTAAAAAGTGCTGTTTTTAATAATTCCTAGAAGCCTAACAAAGTGGAAACTGATCAGATTTCAGACAGCAGGCTATTCCATAGCATTCAGCACCACCACATAAAAACAGTGGCCTCCTACTCTCTCAGAGAAGAGGGACCACTAATAGATTTGCTTGGGAGCTTTGCAGTCAGCAAGCTGAAATTGAGTGGAGAATGCCCTTGAGAGACTTCAGTACCAAACTTTGTAAGGCTCTAAAGCAGGGGTCAGCAACCTGCGGCTCTGGAGCCGCATGTGGCTCTTTCACCCCTCTGCTGCGGCTCCGTTACTCAAAATATGCGTCGCCACTGCCAATATGTGACACCCGCTGGCACGCGATTTATTGAGCTTTTCAACCCCTGGTCGGCCAACCATGGAAAATCCAAGAAAAGAAAAGTTTCAGAAGAAAACAGAACATTTAATTCAACTACATATGCTAGTTTTGTGGCTGCTCAAGAAATAGACAGGCACAGGAAGGACTTTGTGACTCCCATTGTTTTCTTTACTGTGGGAAATGGGTCCAAATGGCTCTTTGAGTGTTTAAGGTTGCAGACCCCCGCTCTAAAGGTAAAATGAGCACTTTGAATTGCATGCAAGAATTGGAAGCCAGTGAAGGTCTCAGAGCACAAATGTAATGTGTTCATATTGGCAAGTACCTACTAAACACTATGCCACTGATCATGTTATTGGTATGTAGATGATATCTGTTTTATTTAATCTGAGAGGGCAGTAAGTGACCTCTATTGAGCAAGTTAACAGGTTAGATGAGGGCTAAAAACTAAAGCTTAATTTAACTTCACCTAGTTGAGTAGTGGTTAATCTGTTCTGGCAGTGGGAGAAATTAAATTTCCTCCAAAATTCAAATGTGCAACTTGGATTATTCCTGGATTCTGTTATCATTGAAGGCACAAGTTGCCTCAGTGATTAGAAGCTTGAGTTATCGGCTTTGGTTAATATACCAGTTGCAGCCATATCTGTATAGAGGAAACAAACCCATTTTCTAGTTGGATTATTGTAATGTGTTGTATGTAAGGGTACCTCCTGAAAAGTTTGGGATCTTCAGAGGCTAGAATGGAGGGACCTTTTTTGAACCAGTATTGATTGATACAATCATGAGATGCCAGTACCTTAATAGTTGCACTGGCTTCCAGTCTTTTTCCAGCCCTATGCAAATATGGCTTCTATGTTTAGATATTAACTTGAGGCCAAAATCTAAATGACTGCCATAGGTGAACCTATGGCATATGTGCCACAGGTGGCATGTGGAGCCATATTAGTGGGCACGCGAGCTCAGTTCCAACATGCATATGATTTTCCCTGGAAGTAGGGAAACAGGCTGTTTCCTGCCTCCGGAGGGCCTGGGGAGGTGGGGAAGGCCCATTTTTTGTTTTCCCTAGGCTCCAGAGCCTCTCTTCCCACCGGAAGTTAGCAAACCGGCCATTTCCGGCCTCGGGGGGGGTGGAGAAGGCAGTTTTCGCCCTCCCCAGCCTCCTAGAGAGGCTCTGGAGTCTGGGAAGAGCAAAAAACAGGCCTACCGGGCCCACCGTGTGCCAAAAGTGGGGGGAGCGTGGGGGTGGGGTGTCACACATGCATGTGTGGGGTGCATAGAATTATGGATGTGGGCACATGTGCGGGCCCCCCCACGCTCCCCATGCTTTTGGCACGCGATTGGAAAAAGGTTAGCCATCACTGACCTAGGGTGAATGAACATCAGGGAGAGCTTTCTAAGCTGGGTGATGCCTTCTGTGAATGCACTCTCCAAAGGAGCCTTGCTTAGTGCCCATATTCCAACAGTTAGGCAAATAATTTCTCTTCTTCTAGATACTTAACAATTTAGCCACAACAAATTATAGACTTGGATGGTTACTGGTTTTATGTCAAATAGTTATTTTCTGTCTTTTGTATTCTATATCCTGGGCTAGTGATTCTCATTTTTAATGTTTATTTTATTTTGGCTTTTATATGCATGTACACTTTGTCAGTTGCTGAGAGAACATTAGTTATTAAGGAAAGTAAAAATAAAATGGACAGCATGCTTGCTAAATGGAAGTATCAACTATATTAACAGAGTTTCTTTCTTGCAGTTTCACATGCCTTATTATCGAAAAAAAATGGTATGGGAAATTCTTCATCAGCAGTTGCTATGATGCCAGACCGCTGTTATGGTTCATGTGCATAAAACACCATCCGGTTATACAATTGACTTGTACCCATTTAAAGGCAAAGGTTCAAAATATCCTCTTGGCTAAGCTCCGTTTCTAGAGATGGGAGTTATCCAGAAGTATAATAGAAGCTTTTACTTGAAGCTTTCTTTCTTGAAGTTTTCCTTCCAAGGAGAAAAATAATAAGGAGGCAGGCAGGAATCTGGCAGAGTATTTTTAAGTAGACCGATGCTGAGTTTTTTGATGACTATGACCTATGTGACATGAAAAAGAAATATACATATATTGCAATTTTCCAAAGAATGCCAGGTTGTCTATGGTTTCAATGCTGATTGGATTCAAACTTATACTGCTTATAAGTAATGCAATTGTAGTTGTAGCTGATTTGTCCCATTAATTTTAACTGATCTACTCCAATCAAAATACAATTTGGACTCGCCCTTTGATTATAAGCAAAAAGCATGCTTTTTGAGCTTTATTTTTGAAGTTTTATTGTATACTTCTGTTGGGGCATTTGTCTGGAATCTACGACTGTATTTTGCAGGCAGTGAAAGGAGTGTGCTTACTCATAGTATGTTCCTGAGTTTATATTTTCATATAACTGGATCTTAGTGATGCTGAAAAATGGAAAATTCTGTTTGATTTGTAACAAATCCATTGTAAAAGCCCTAGGTGGGAATTATTCTTTATTTAAAAATTAAAATGTTGTATGAGACTATTTATTTGTATTCTTGTATGTGTTGGATATGTGTTGGAATTTTAAGATAGGTTAACTAAAATGGAAATAAACATCTAGTAAAAAAGATATAATTGATGTGACTTTCATTGCCTTTTCTGTTTTTTCAACTATTACATGCTGCAATGTATGTAATATGGGTGAGGAATAGCAAGATTAATGATTTTCTGTTTCACAATAACAATCTTAATTCCTTCATTACTGTCAAGCTTTTTAGGCTAAATGTTAAGATTGTGCACAATGTTAGGCTACTCACTTTAGAGCTGAGGCATAGAAAAACAAGCATTCTCATGCCACATAAAGGAAGCTTTCTTTTAACAAACATCATGGAATTATGCTATAAAAAATAATTGTGGGCCCGTTATATACGGTTTTCAAAGCCTAATCACAACTATTTGTAAAGTAACAAACCATAATTATGGCTGCTTTCCATTGCTTTGGAAAGTACAGGTAGTCCTCAACCTATGACCACAATTGAGGCCAGAATTTATGTTGCTATGCGAAAAATTTGTTAAGTGAGTTTTGACCCATTTTATGACTTTTCTTGCCACATTTAAGTGAATTGCTGTAGTTGTTAAATTAGTAACACGGTTGTGAAGTGAATCTGGCTTCCCCATTGACTTGGCTTGTCAGAAGTTCACAAAAGATGGTCTCATGACCCCCGGACACTGCAACCATCATAAATATGAATCAGTTGTCGAGCATCCAAATGTAAATCACATGACCCTGGAGATGCTGCAACGATCATAAGTGAAAAATGGTCGTCACTTTTTTCAGTACTGTTGTAACTTTGATCACTAAATGAACTGTTGTATGTTGAGAACTACCTGTAATAT